GACACAGTTAATCCTTTTAACAAATCATTGTATCTTTTCCCCTTACTTTACCTTTCCCTTTATTCCACACAGATATCCTTCCCCCGCCCTAAAGTATTTACCCTCATGCCTTATTTATAGAAATCATATACATAGCATTTCCTCCTGTGCATTGTACAATTGCAAAACATATTGCCTCCACCTCATCATCTATATTCATATATCTTCCTTTATATTTCTAAAATTAGACCATTCAGTGTATTATATGTCTTAAAAACAGAACAGATGGGGGTAAGGGGGAATGAAGTAGGTAATTACCCCTTCTTTTCCTTCCTATTATCATCATATTATATCCAAAAATTCATACCATAACCTAGCATATCATATTGCTCAAACTCAGTCAAGCCCACTTACACTATGCATTCCAACATATTCAAAATCTCCCCCAGTAAACATCCACCAATCCACTGGGTAATTTGATGTCAGGGAGTTAATTACAATTAGTCCACCTGACTGCCCCCTGGTATATTAGTGAGACTCAGGGTACCAACTTTTCCCACCCCCCATTCTCCCCATCCTCCCTCTTCCTCTACCTTCTTGTGTAATCCCTCCCACAAGTGCTCCCCAAGGTTTACTCCCTTCCCTATTATTCCCCAATTCATATCAGTCCCCACTCCTATTTATTCCTCTAGACTCCTACCTTCCCATTCCCCCCTCTACCCTACCTCCATTCCATCACCGACCCCCGGCCCTCCTCCCTTTTACCTCTCCCACTTTCTGTGGCATTCTCCCCTTCCCCCGTGCCACCATTTAAAAGTGCCCAAAGCCCCTACTCGCGTCATTCCCTCCCCCCTCCTTCCTATTATTGAATGTACCCTTCCCATAGGACCCCTCCTCCTCTCCCTCCCTATCCATCATTTACCCCAGTCTCATTTCTCCCCCCTCATTTTAATGACATCTTGATCTATACTATTATTATTTGTTCTACATTTACATTCATATTTCTATTCTAGATAGGTATTGCTCATTTATTTCTTATATCCCAAGGTATAATTTTTAATTTTATTTTTATCTTCCTTTTGATTCCGTTATTAATGAATATAGTCCTTAATTAACCAGGGTTCATTATTTCCGTCCTGGGATCTTGGCTATTTCTGGGACTGGAGGGTCTGGCCAAGAGTCAATTTCTACTTGTGGTAAGCCCAGTGCTTCCCCCAATCCATTTATATCCTCAGGTGTTCTCAAAATGTAGGATTGTCCATTTTTCCTGATTCTAAGATGAAATGGATACCCCCACCAATATGGTATTCCTGCTTCTGCTAGAGCACGGGTCAATGGTCTCGGAGCTCTTCCCCTTGCCAATGTTTTACTGGATAAGTCTGAGAAAGTAATAATCACGGCTCCATCCACCTCTATAGGCCCCTTCTCTCTAGTTTTTAACAGTTTTTTTCTTCTTTTTGTTCATAAAAGTGTACCCTGCGTAAAACATCTCTAATTTGGTTTGCCCTGCTCACATTAGGTATCCAATGTACTCGATCAATTTTAATACGATCAGTCTCTGGGTTCCCCAAAAGTTTATTGAAAATGGAGCTTCCTGTTGGCCAAAGTTCCATGGGGCCCTTTGTTTCAGGTATACCTTTTAATCTAATGTTATTCCGCCATTGGCGGTCTTCTGGATCTTCTATCTGTATGTGCATGGATTGTATCTGTGTATGTTGATCTCTAATTACTGGAGTCAAGGACGAATAGCCTGTAAGTATCGGTGGAATCATTGTCTCCAGTGCCTCTATTCTATCATGAAAACCCTGGAGATATTTCCTGAGGTCCTTCATTTCTTTTCTATGTCCTTCTTCCATTCTCTGGAACATTGCTTCCAGATCTCTCTTTGTAGGTAAGTGAGATATAATTTTCCAAAGTGTCCCAGTTGTTTCCATCTCCACGAGCTCATTGCTCGATTCCAATATATAATTTCCCCCACTTTGTCCAATTTCACTACATACTGGAGACGCACTCACAGCTGACTCTCCCATTTCATCTCTCTGTTCTGACCTCTGTGTAGGGGTGCATGCAGTTTCTTCCTCTTTTATGGAAGAAGCTTCCTATATTTGTTGTTCTAGTTTTGGGTCTCAGAGTTTTTTCTATTTCCCTTTTTTCTTTTTTTTTTACTACTCTTTCCCATTGTTCAATAGTAGGTACGAATTTGCAAAATAGTAGATGTAATCTATTATACAATTTCGCATAGCCAGTCAGTTATATTCACTCCACTCACCCAGTCCTCCTATTTGATATTCTGGATGTTTAAGGCCTGCTAGGGAGAGTCTTTCACAGCTTAAGCCATATACATCGCTAGTCCAGCGCCATTTCCCAAGTAGCAATTATAGTATATCAAATCAGGCTCAGAATCAAGGTTTTCTCTATACTCATTTGTGAAAGCTTTGAATCCAGCAAAAGTTCAAATGACCAGCGGTAAACATATAGGAAGTCTGTTCTCATCTATGCCTCCACCAAGATATCAAGTTATCACAACACGATTCTTTTTTAGCTTTCATCAGCAGATACATAAATTAATTGGCACTATACAGTCTCTCATAAGCAGGGTGATTACCTTGCTGAAAAAAAAGAAAAACTTCCTCCACCACTCGTCTGCCCATTACATACAGTATGTGGGGGCAAATTCTACTATATCTCTTCAGCAGCTTCTGCTGTTTTACATTTAAGTCCCACTAGCTATGGCAGCCTATACAGACAGTTTGTTATTATAACAGATGCTCTGACCTCAATCATATGGGCAGCAGGTAGCACAGAGCAATCTCTCACTTCCACACCTGCCTGTCTGCTCCAAGGTGGTCAAGGCACACATACAGGGAGGAGCACTCTCACCTGACCTCCCCGTTGTCAGCCGTCCCTCCTGGGTCCCCTGGGATGAAGCCTGGGGTGTATGTCCAGCAGCACGTTGTGTCAGCGGCAGGGTTAGAGCCACTAGGCATATACAGGGGATGAGGCTCTATCCCGTCCTCAACGTCATCAGCAGTCCCTCCAAGTCGGCTTGTATAGTATTTCTGTGCGGCTTGAGGTATACCCTTCTACTGTCCAAAACGACAGACAGCGGGGCAGACACGATAGCTCAATAAAGGTAGCATAACGAACAAAAGAGGTGGGATAAGACTGCAATACTAATATTGATAAGAGGATGTATCCTAGCTGTTTTTTTAAATAATAAACTTCCCTGCTAAATCATATAGGAGAAATGTAAAGGGAATAATAGCATAACAGATTTGAAATGCAAATATGAAATGTATGATATGAAAATAATAGAGATGTTAAACAAAAAAAGGTGCAAGTGAACACTCCAAAACACAGAGGTGTGAATGTAGACAGAGAATTTTTCTGTAAATTTCAGGCTTGAGATCCTATAAATTAAAATCGTGGCAATTGCTATTTTTTATGTCGATATTAGGTGAACTGTTTATTAAACCCACATTTTTAGAAAAAAATAACTTTAGTACACATAAACACAATATAATACCCATTCTACCCAGTCTAACCAATGTAAAAACGATGTGTGTAAAATCCATACCACACCTTTATGCCACATGCAAAAAAAAAAACCCACAAAAAATGTTCCTCTACTTCATATCACAGCCCCCCTCCATTCACATGACAGCCCCCCTCTTACACATCAGTCTCCTCCCACATCACAAGCCCCCTTTCACATCAGGAGCCCTCTTCACATCAGAAGCCCCCCTTCCAATTGGCAACTTTCCTGTATAATGGAAATGCATGCCGCTGTACAATAATTTTGAGGCACCCCTGAGGAAGCTAGAAGCCACCCTAGGGTGCCACAGCAACCTGGTTAAGAAAGGCTGAGATGAACACCAAACATGAGCTTCAAAATTACATGCACCCATGAAATGGCGAAAAACTATGGTAACCAAAGTTGTTCTTAGTTAACACTTTAAAAGCCTTTACAGTCATCAGTTTAGAGTTAGGTTTTCATCCTCAGGCGCATCCGACACGTTTGCCTTGATATGTGTGTGTGCATTGGGGCGGGTGAGTTTTATTTTTATTATTTATTCATTTATTTTTTCTATGTTTCTGACAAGCCCCTTATGCGATAGCACTTAAGTTCTTTTCAAGGAGACATCAGGGGTGTATTAGACACCTAATGTTGCCTCTGTACACCAGTAAAGCTGATCAAGCACAATTTCACCTCTGTACTTTGATGGCATTGATCAAGTTACCGTCTATGGCCCATGGAAGTGTTCAGGCAGCTTTACAGCTGCTCAAATCACATCCAGTGTGAGCACATGTATGAATAGTCCCAGCTGCCATGTCATCCAGGAGTCTGCTTACATGGCCCTGCTGCTGCAGCCATATGAAAGGGGACAAAATGAAGAGAACGGGGCCTAACTCGGTTTTACCAGGAAAAATCAAGTTTTGCATATACAGTAACTGACGTTGCCTATATCTCTGTATTTTTCTCATCAAATGCTTGCCCAGGTTTGTAACCGATTTGCTTGAAAATGTATCTCCTATATTCTGCCACTTTATACGTAGGAAGAACATCAGTCTGTACAAATGGAACATGTTTTAATATTGGAAATAAATCTGTATTGGGGTACTTTGAAAAAAAGTTAATTAATGCCTGTTGGTGCACTGTTATTTGAAAGTTGTCCATCTGCAAGCTGGATAATGTTTCTATAGTTGAGGCGCTTCTGTGAAAAGTCTGTAATTGGAAAGCTTGTGTTTTCCCAAGAATCGTAATCCCCCACATATTTGCAGGTAGTGCTGCCCCTGTTTCCCTTTTCTGCTGGCCCTTTTCCCACTTCTTACGCACCTGGATTTGAACAATTCAGGTTTCTTATAGAATGGCCAAAACCAGTATATAATGCTTTGACTCCAGCACTTATTGTTTTCATGGTCCTTTCCTGTTGCCATTTTATTGTAATTTTGTTTGTACTATTTATTATAACTATGCAAAAAAAACCCCCCAAAAAACGTGTTTGCTTTGTGTTTTGTAGGCTCGGAATGTCAACACTGGAGAACTAGCAGCAATTAAGGTTATCAAACTGGAACCAGGTAAGAAACTTATGGTGCTTTTAGTTTCATTTAGGGTGGTTCACACCACAGAGTGTGCGTTCCAGAGCGTTCCAGTCCAGTGCGATCTGCAAAAATAGTTGCAACATTTTTGCAGATCGCACTGGACTGGAATGCATGCTCTTTGTGGTGTGAACCGGCCTTAAAATTGTGAAAGTAGGATGGTGTTGTGGAGAATGTCGGTATCGGTACTAGCAGAAAACAAATACAAATAAAATAAGTAGCTACATTCTATGTGATTTCATTGTTATTTATAATGATTTACGGTAATGAAGCACTGTGAACCATTTTGTTTACTATGTATGTTAGTTACAAATTACGTCGCGGCATTGCCATGCACTGCCACAATATATTTATTATTATTATTATTATACAGGATTTATATAGCGCCAACAGTTTGCGTGGCGCTTTACAATATAAGGAACACATAACAATCACAATACAATTCAAGACAAGATGGTAAAGAGGGCCCTGCCCGTGAGGGCTTACAATCTAAAAGGGAGGGGCAAGTGATACATGAGGAGGTAGCTGTGTGGGGATGAATTCTTTGAGAAAGTGATAGTTCAGTGGTTAGGTTGAGGTGGGAGGTGGGATAAGCTTCCCTGAAGAGATGAGTCTTACGGGATCGCCTGAAGGCAGTCAGTGTGGGAGATAGAAGGACAGGGTGGGGAAGAGAGTTCCATAGGATAGGAGAGACTAGTGAAGTCCTGGAGGCGAGCATGGGAGGAGTTGATGAGGGAGCTGGAAAGCAGGAGGTCTTTTGAAGAACGGAGGGGACGCTTAGGGTGATACTTTGAGACCAGGTTTGAGATATAGCCAGGGGCAGAGTTATGGATGGCTTTGTGTTTGTTAATATTTTGAATTTTATCCTTTGGGCTATTGGAAGCCAGTGCAGGGATTGACAGAGGGGGGTTGCAGACACTGAGCGGTTTGTTAGGTGAATGAGTCTAGTAGCTGCTTAGAGGTAGGCCAATGAGGAGGGAGTTGCAATAGTCAAGATGAGATATAACAAGTGAGTGGATGAGTAATTTAGCGGTTTCATTGGTGAGGAAGGGGCGTATTTTGGAGATGTTACGAAGGTGAAGGCGGCAGGATTTGGATAGTGATTGGATGTGGGCAAGAAAGGTAAGGTCCGAGTCAAGAATGACACCTAGGACTTTGGCATAGGGGGAGGGGGTGGTTAGTTGTGATAACAATCTCAAGGGAAAAGTTGGGAGAAGGTGCACGGGCGGGAGGAAATATCATGAGCTCAGTTTTTGAAAGGTTGCGTTTTAAGAAGTGTTGTGACATCCAGACGGATATGTCAGTTAGTAGATTAGTGACATGCAAGGACACTGAGGGGGTGAGTTGTGGAGTAGAAAGATAGATTTGAGTGTCAACGGCATAGAGATGGTATTGGAAGCCATGTGAGGTTATTAACTGACCAAGAGAGGAGGTGTAGATAGAGAAGGGGTCCACAACCTTGGGGGACCCCTACAGAGATAGGAAGAGGAGGGGAGGAGTTAGATTTGTAGGTGACACTAAAGGAGCGTTTAGATAGGTAAGAGGAGAACCATGAGAGAGCAGAGTCTTGTAGGCCAAGCGAGTGGAGTTTTTTGAGGAGGAGCAGGTGGCCAACAGTGTCAAAAGCAGCAGAAAGGTCTAATAGCAAGAGTAAGGAGTAGTGGCCATTGTTTTTAGCTGTTAGTAACTCATTAGTGAGTTTTAGGAGGGCGGTTTCAGTGGAGTGTTGGGGGAGAAAGCTGGACTGTAAGGGATCGAGAAGGTTGTCATCAGCGAGGTGGCGGCTCAGGCGGCTGTAGATAAGGCTTTCTATGAGTTTGGAGGGGAATGCGAGTAAGGAGATTGGTCTGAGATTGTTGAGGTCGGTAGGGTCCATTGATGTTTTTTTGGGTATTGGGGTGACCAGGGCATGCTTTAGAGGGGAGGGAAAGATGCCAGTAGAGAGTGACAGATTGAAAATGTGAGTAAGAGAGTGTAGGATAGAGTAGGAGGGTGACTGAAGTAGTGGTGAGGTGGGTGTCAGAGAGAAGCTTTGTAACCTCCTCTGTGGTGACAGGGTCAAAAGAGGAGAGTAACAAGTGTGTTGGTGGGTTTGGAACATGAATTGGGGAAGGTGACTGCACAGTGGTCTGAGCCCGGATTGTATCTATTTTGTTTTTTAAATGAATGGCAATGTCCTGGGCAGTGAGTGAGTTAGTGGGTGGAGGCAGTGGGGGACATAGTAGAGAGTTAAAGTAGAAAACAGTTGATGAGGTCTGGATGAGAGTGTGTTAATGAGGGAGACGAAAGAAGTCTGTTTGGCAGTCCGGAGGAAGGAATTATATTTTAAGAGGGTAGCGTTATACAGGGTGAAGTCTTGCAGAAGCCTAGTTTTTTGCCACATTCGTTGGGGAGCTCACAGAGCACTCGCACATGGCTTTTCCATAAACAAAATCTTTATTTTTCTCTTTAGGCAACTCACAGTTGAAAAACGCAACTTCAGGCTTAACTTCAGCATATAACACAGTATATTGTCTCACTGACTCAAGGTTGTCCTGTTCACTCAATGTCCCAGTCCTAGGATTTGCCTCAACAAAATGCTTCAGGGGTACTTCATACCCCTTAAACCGCTTCCAGAAGCTTTCCTATGTGTCTGGCTCACAGCCTCTCTAATCCTCCAGCTTCCCTGGCTGTTCCGTGTGTGTGGCCCTCAAGTGCCTCCAGCACACACCATACCACCTCTCCCCTGAGCTCTGTACTGGCTCCTTAATTAGGCTGTTCTTAGCCACCTGATCAGCCTAGACTGGTCGTTGGCAATACCTGGCTCCAGGACTGGAGATTTCATCCCACCCAGAGCTCTAAGAAATCTCCAGAGCACCAGATCTCAGCTATAATTAGGAAAACGTTTTACAACAATAGAAGCCGGGGAAGGGAAGGTGTTGTGAAGAATATATTTGATTAATCCAGAGTGAATGGGGGTCCCCTAACTATTAGAAATAAGTAAACAAAACATTCCCCGAATAGGGGATCCCACCATTACTCAACAAAATCTACATAAACAATATAGTAATGAAAAATATATATGGATTTATTTAATTTAGAAAAGATAAAAATCTATGTATTCAAACTATATATTCAATATGAAAGAATTACATTTAGACAAACAAATGCATGCATGTACATAAATAGAGTGACTGCATCCCGCCTGTTAGCAAGTGGGTTAGTAGAAAAATATCTTAATCAATGAAGAGACATGCCGTTTAGAAAGCCTGGTATATATAAAAAAACGGAAAACCGTCCATGGAGCGAATCCAGATATTATAGAAATTTCCCAGTGGATAAAGGGATTACCCTCAATTGGAAACAAAGGGCACAAACAAAATCAAAATTGTAGTCACAGAGGGGGCGTGTGTTGTGAACACAACACCCACGGGAACCTTTAGAGTGGAGAAACACAGTCAATGTAGGTATAATGAAAGAATGTAACTCACGATCCCGGTGTTTCTTTGTTTTGTTGTTTCGAGAACAAATTTCGGAGAGATGATGGTAAATATTTGAGTGAAGGTGGCGGGTTTGAAGAGGAACACTGGTATCAGGAGGTATGACTGTTGCCTCGGCTAAGTACGATAGATTTTGCAAATCGTTGCCTTTACTGGATAGCTGTGTTCAGTTCCCCTGGTAAATTTGTCTTGAATTTCAACAGCTCTCAATTGCATTGGATTAAAGATGTAATCGATATTATGATACTAGTCCTTGTGGATATAATATGTATTTATATGCATTGTTAACCAAAATTAACACTCAAATATGTGAAAATATATTCTATCCTGTTAAGGTGAATGGTCTTTAAATGTTATACATAGATATACGTTTATTTTATATATTGCTCTAAATAATTCTATAACCTGCTAATTTATATCTGTAATATTAAATATCTATACACATTTTTTGAGTAAGTGGTGTACCCAAAGAGCACACCACAAAGACACACTAGACTTTGAAACGGAATTACAGGTGTTACCAATAACACCAATTACCGTTCCATTCATAAGAGACCACAGATCCTAAACCAAGTTACGCCTGTCTGAGGAAGCCCCATTTGTGGGAGGGGCGAAACGCGTCACAGGTGTTTTTAGTTTCAGGTTCTCTTTTGTGACTGCTCCGCCTGACACATGCCTGCACTTTCAAAGCCCTGGATTACTCTCTAAAGATCGTGAATACCGGCATAGAGACTGCCAAAAAACTTTTTCCATTGGGTATTTATGGACAACTTATGGACAACAAACATCAGACAAACTTAATCAATTAGATCCGAAAGTTACCCCGACGGAGATTAACCAAGTTGAGATAAAGTTACCTTCCAACTCTACACAAACATCCATGGAGAATTCCCTATCTGCTTGCAGGATGAACCTTTCCTTCGTTTATACAATTGAGAGCTGCTGTTGAAATTCAAGACAAATTTACCGGGGGAAATGAACACAGCTATCCAGTAAAGGCAACGATTTGCAATAGGGCTGCAACAACTAATCGACATAATCGATTATAATCGATTATTGAAAAAGTTGTCAACTATTTCAATCATCGATTAATCGGCTTCCGATTACACACACACACACACACACACACACACACACACACACACACACACACTAACACACTTCCTGACACCAACATGGCAGCATATGAATGGGTTTAGCTCCGCCCCTTAATCACAGGCCACCATTCTTTTTTCTGTCCTCACTGCTCAAGTCTTATACTAAGAATTTTACTTGCTTAGAATGACTTTTTAAATACTTTAAAAAAAAGTACTTAAACTTAATTTAAATACTTATATAAATATGGCATTTTTAAAGAAAGCAGAAAGTAAAAGAACTTCCTGTGTTTCACAGATAAGCATGCAGAGAGACTAGCAATTCAAGAATAAAGTTTTGTTTCAGCTCATGCCTTAAATGTGGCTGCTATGCTGAGAAAGTTCATTGAGGTCACCTTCTTTCAGG